TGTGTGTGTGTGTGTGTGTGTGTGTGTGTGTGTGTGTGTGTGTGTGTGTGTGTGCATGTGTGTGATTGTGTCTGCCCTCATATTTCCAATGCTGAGCTGAGGAGCGTAGCATCTCCTGTACCCCTCCCCACTCCAACCCATTAACTCGGTCATTGCCACCCTGAGGCGCATGCACAGATTAAAACAAATTGCAAAAAGAGAAGGGGTAAGAGATGCAGGCAGCTGCTGCCCAAATGAGTTCAGTGACGAGGCAATTTTAGAAGTCATTCCTACTTCAACTGGCCTCATAAAGAACTGTGCAATCACTCTGTTCGGGGGATTATGCGTCATAATCATGAGTAAAGAATTTAAAAAAAAAAGCTCAGCTGCGGTTTGCGAGTCAGCAGTCCTCCAACTGTCCCTTGTTTGATGTGTTTTCTGCTTCACCCTAAGGCTCTATGCACTTGGTGGCTGCAGCTTACTTCCTGTTGCTTGTCTTCCCTTTTGTCCCTGCCGAACATAATCACCCACCCTTCCTCTCTTCCTTTGCCTTTTCTTCTGCTTTTGTGCTTATAGCCGCATGAGAAATGCCTTTAAGCAGTTAAGGATGTGTAGTATTTAAAATAATGTAGAAATGATGAGTAAAATTTGCTCAGGTTTCCTCATCACCACATTTATCATTTATATTATTGACCCTCAATAGAGTGCTAAGACTGTATAGAATCTATGTTTTTTTTTTGCAGACCTCCTCATAGGTAAGAAAAAAAAACCTCTTACTACTTTTACTGCAGTGTTTTGGCCTGTCCTATGCTGCGTCTAAAAAATGTCTGGTTTCTGGCAGCGTCGCTGTGCTCAGATGTCATTTAACCTGTTGATAGCTTCCTGTGTAGCCATTGAAAAACTCAAGCACTTGTACTTATCCTTATGGAAAAGAGAGAGAGAGATCCAGAAGTGGTGTGCCAGTGGAGGTCTGCCTGGAGAAGCACAGATGTATTATTCAGTTTGTCTGTAGCTCCAGTTGGACGTGACTAAATTTACAAAGGAAGGAGGGGAGACTACAGCTCTTACGTAAGCTGTTCACAAGACATCATTAATGTTGAYGCTTGATGCAGATGGAAACTGTAAAACTGTGGAGTGGAGAAAAGCACCGCAGTCAAACAAAGGACCCAGCACAGAACTATGAATGACMCATTCAAACAAACACAGATAGCATCTTTTTGCCTTTACCTTTGTTGGTTTGTTAGAAAAAAGCCGCATTTTAATGCTTGTTTGAAGCCTTATTGTTACCATGGCAACAACGTTTCAGCTGTGTTGTGTTGCATTTACTAATGATCTTCACGGTTTCTGGAGTTTATAATATTCTGCTCTGTGTTAAATTCAGTTTGCGAGTCACAGCGGATTGCAGCGCAGGCTGTGCAGTCGGAGCGATGCTCGGCTGTCTGCAGCTCTCTTTATGGTTTTAGGTTTTGACAGAATCAATAATCTGCTGATGCAAACAAATCCCAGCACTGGTCAAGCTCTAATTCTCACTCTTCCAAAGCTGTGCTGAACAGCGTACCTGCACATGGATTAAACTACACCAGAGTGCAGGTCATGTTAGTGCGTCTGTGCTGAGCTACAGGGAGACTAAAAAGCTGTGCAATCTTTTCAGCCATGAGAGCTTCAGACWCTTTGTTTTCAGACTTATGTGTGCTGTTTGAAGCTGGTTGGTTCTCTATGATTGTCTGAGTTTACCTCTCCGTTCATATGTTGTTTTTATTCTGCTAACACGTTATCCTGCTTCCTCTGTTGTTCGCATCTTTAGCTCTGCTCGTTTTCTCTCCAGCAGAAACACAAAGCTGGTGCCTGAGGGGGCAGTCTGTGTAAATATCCATCTATAATTCAATCCATTGCAAGACTTTGTGCTTCCAATTCCAGGCTACACAATGTACACACAGACAGACAACAATCCTGCCAAAGATGTAAACAGAAGTATAGGCTTGAGACGTATATGATACTCACCACATAAAGTGTTGGCATTTCGTATTGAATGAGGCAGCTTGGGGCATTTATGGGATAAAATCTAAAAGGAATTGGTCCCATTTGTTTAGAAATATTCTCAACTCTTCAGTAAATGTGAGGATTGTCTGGTTTAGACATGCACAAGAAGAGCGTTACCAAATATTTGCCGAGTTTGCATAATTTTTTACTTTGTTAAATCTAAACAAATCGATTGCATTTATGTAAAATATCACATATTGCCATTTCTGAACAGCATGATTACATTTTATATAACACTGGAGTTATTCACCAGCTTTAACCTTTTGCCACTTATTTGCACTTCCTCTTGCTTTCAGACCTTGTCTGGCACAAAGACACGCRTCTCGCACATATTCAGACACTAATTAACAACCAACACTTTTTTAAAATCATATTTAATGAGTTTTCATTATTGTTGTTATAAACAAGATAAATTGCAATGAATAAAGTCTAATGCCACAGTTTTATATACAGGATCTCACATCTGATTCTGTTTTATGTACATAAAACTGCAGATTCTTCACTCTGTAGTTACCGGTAGTTTCATTGATTTTATTGATGCTTATAAAAAGATAAGATTAGCATTTTATTTTTGCTTAATTCTGCTGAAGCCATGTGTTATAAGGTTTAATTCTGGCCAGAATAACCCTTTCCATTTTGTTTGCTGTAGCTGCATGAAAAACACATATATGATAAGTTCAGGGTTTTACGGTGACGTTTTTGAAAAGGTTGGAAATAATGTAGATTATAAACTTAATTTGGAGAAATTGGGTTTAATTCTGGCCAGAAAGATGAACCAATGAGTAATCTGATCTGAATGAAGATTAAAGTGGATCACTACCATCTGCAATTTTCTATTTTAAGTATCCAGCCTCAGAAATTTATTTGGGAAAAAATTCCTGTGAAAGCTATTTTACATTATTACCAAATTTGTCATAAAGCACGAAATAGGCAGCTGGGTTGATTTTCAACCACTTTAGATTAACTAATTGCTATTTTCCTACACTGTAGCTTGCAGATATTTGATCTGAGCTCATTATTGTAGCCTAATAACTTGAAATATGAATGCTTAGCTCATAATTAATTTRTGTAACTACTCAATATGGCATTTATAAATAGAATAAGATCTACCATCTACCACAGTCTAAACTGTCCCAGYTGTATTACTTTGTTGAATTCCAGAAGCCAAGAAACTGTTTGCAGGAGTGCAGGATGAATGAATAGTAGCACCACATTCATCTCCCACATCTAAAATGCTTGGCAGGGATTCACCCCAAAGTTGTCACGGTGCAATTAGATTTGAGAGAGCTGGTGAGGCTGTTCATAACAGTGCATCTTGCTCAGCTGCCTCATAAAGTCCTGCATATTGCTGCATTGTGACAAGAGAAATAAAAACATGCTGCCACGTGATGCTCCAAGACCAAAATAGTTTCTTTTCAAATTGTTTYTTTTCTCTCACTTTTTTTGTTACGTCTTTTTTGTGCAACAGCAAGACCTTGGTTTGTCCGAGTCAGTCCATAAATAGCTYATGCAGGAATAAATCATGTGCATGATAATGTGATTCAGTGACTCGAGAGGAGGCGTGCAGGCAAGTGTCAATATTACATCACCACTCTGAGTCCTGYTTACCGCTGACTGCAATAAAGAGTATAGTTGTTAGGTTAAAGTAACTGTGACACAAGCAGTGTGTATGTTTTCCCCAGAGTAAACAAGCATTAAGCTCTTTAATTGGTGCAATGAGCCACAATGCTGAGTCAGCGTCATGTTAATGGGAGGCCTCCAGMGTAGCTCCTGACAGCTGCCAGCGAGGAATTTACACACAATTAAGTTCACATTCATTACAAATGTCCTCTTTAGGATGGAAATAGGCACTGTAATTAAACTGCATACCACAAAAACTTTCTTTATTCATGAGGCAACCCACAAAGATCATTCTTTGTTCATGCTGTTCCACATATGATGCATCAACCAATCCATCTACTTGTTTTGTTGTACATCTTCTCA